CATATATATATATATATATATATATATATATATATATATATATATATATATATATATAGTATTCTTCAATTATATAAATATATAAAATATATGAAAAATTGATGTGGGTACTCTAATAAAAGGTCTCTGTAAGTGTAATGTCGGAGTGAGATTATATCTTTAAAAATGTCAGTGGTTGACAAGATACAATGTAATTACTTATTTACTGACATTTTTAAAGATATAAGCTCATTTTGATAATCCACTCCTCGAGACCTCTCATTTGAGTACCCACATGCCATTTTTGATATATTTTATATAAATATGATATTTGTGACATATATAAATATATAAAATATACGAAAAATTGATGTGGGTACTCAAATGAAAGGTCTCAATGAGCGTAACATCAAGATGAGCTTATATCTTTAAAAATTTCATCAGTGAACAAAATACAATGTAATTTCTCAATTATTGACTTAAAATTATTCAATGTTCAAACGACCGCTTAAATTGTTCCATAAAAAAAATTACTAAGTTTTTCAGGGAAAAATAACATATTTTCAATACATGAAACTGAATGTCAACAAAAGTAGATGACAGACGGAGTTCCATTGACGTGACAGTAAACAAGCACCAGTTTGACCAGGTGAGGCAGGTATGGCAAGAAAGATTCTCCCTCTACTAGCTTCTGGTACGGAGAGGGAACTATTGCTCTCATTGTTCTTATTGTACACGTGAAAGCAAGGCCGTTATAGTTTAACTAGCAGAGAGGGGATCATCACTCCACTCAATCCCAAGCAATTCCAAGTTTATCTTTATCCTGCTACTACTAACCATTTCTATCTTTACTACTGTGCGTCTAGTTTAGTTTCAAGCCTGTTGCTAAATTTATTTAGTTGATAAATAAATATGAAAGTTACTCTGGCTATTTTATTTAGTATTATTTTACTTGCTGATGGGTATGTAGCAGGATGCATTTTATTTATTTTTTTTTTTAAGTAATTTATCTATTGGAGTGTTGCGTATTTTTAGTTTGAGTTTTTATGATACTCAATTTAATAATACTGTTAGCTGAATTTTTTTATTTAAATAATTTTTTTATTAAAAAAAATTTCTAAAACTTCAGCAAAAAAATTATAATTACAAATTTTTAAAAGTATTTTTTTTTTTAATATTAATATTTAATAAAAAAATTTTTTTTTTATTTTTAAATTTAAATTTTAGTTCAATCTTTAATAAAAAAATTTATTTATTAAAAAAAAAAAAATTTATTGACTTTAGATATTTTTAAACATAATTTTTAATTAAAATTTAGTGATAACGTAATTGATTACTTGAATTAAAAATTATCTTTAGACTTTTTTTTTTTTTTATAATTAAAACCCAATAAATTTTTTTTTTAGTATTGTATTAGAAAAAAAAATAATTTTTCTATTACTCAGCTATTTTTCTTAAGAAAAAAAAAATTGTGGTTAAATGAGTCAATAGAGATAAAATAATAAAAATCAATCACAAGAAAAAATTTTTCCTTAGAATTTTATACTAATAATAACTGATATAAATAAAATAGAAAAAAAAATATTTTTAACTCTGAAAAATTTAATAATACTAGTTAGCCGACATTTCTAATTTTATTTATTTATTTAAATAAATAAATAAATAAATAAATGTATAAATAAATAAAAAAAATATTTAAAAAAATTTTTAGAAATTATAAAGAATTATTAATGAAATTTAAAAAAAAATTTTTTCTAGGTCTAGTTTTTTAAAAAAAAAAAAAGTTGAAAATTTTTAATAATAATTTGAATTATAAAAATATAAAAACAAATTTTTTATAAATTATAAAAAATTAATAATGAAATTTATTAAAAATAATTTGAATTAAAAAAACATTTTAAAACAAATTTTTAGAAGTTATAAAAAATTATTAATAGAATTTTTTAAAAATAATTTTCTAGACCTAGTTTATTAATTAAGAATAAAAAAGTGTAATAAAAATTTATAATAATAATTTGAATTATAAAATTATAAAAAAATTTTTCAGCCGAATGAAAAGAAAATTCAAGAAGCCAAAATTCCAAAAACTATCCGGCTCGAATGACTTTAATCTATTAATATTCACGCAACATTGGCCTGAGACAGTTTGTTTCACATGGCAAGAGACTGTCAGCAACCATACATGCAATTTACCCCGCGATGAAGAGTGGACCATCCACGGAATCTGGCCCACACAGTACCACAAAGAGGGTCCGTCTTATTGCAACAAATCAATGCAGTTTGATTCGGCTAAATTATCGCCGATTGAAGACGAACTGGAGGTAAAGTGGATTGATGTAGAAAATGGGACCAAGCCCTTCTCATTTTGGAAACACGAGTGGGAAAAGCACGGGACTTGTGCTATGGTACTTCCCGAAGTCAGCGACGAGTACAAGTACTTCAAAAAAGGCCTTGAATTGTTGGATCAGTATGACATGAAAGGTGTCCTGGCCAAAGCTAATATTTTTCCTGGAAAACAGTACATGGTCCAAGAGATTCTTGACGGAGTCAACAATGTTTTGGGAAAACACTGTCAAGTTGAATGTGTTATTAATCCTGTAAGTAGATTTTTAGTTTTCCACACCTAAATTTAAATTAATCAACTAACAATAATTAAAATTTTGCTTTATTAAATAATGAATCTTGTTAAATTGCACTGTACTTTCTTAAATATTAACGTTTTTAAAGATATAAGCTCATCCCGATGTTACACTCATCAAGAGCTTTCATTTAAGTACCCACATCAATTTTTTATATATTTTTCATATATACATATATATGATATATATAAATATATGAAAAATTGATGTGGATACTTAAATGAAAAGTCTCGATGAGTCTAATGTCGAGGTGAGCTTATATCGTTAAAAATGTCAATAGTTGACAAGATACAAGGTGATTTCTTAATTATTGACATTTTTAAAGATATAAGCTCATCCTGAGGTTACACTCGTCAAGACCTTTCATTTGAGTACCCACATGACATTTTTCATATATTTTATATATATGGTATTTGTAAAGTATATAAATATATAAAATATATGAAAAATTGATGTGGGTACTCAAATGAAAGGTTTCGATGAGTGTAATATCAGGATGAGCTTATATCTTTAAAAATGTCAATAGTTGACAATATAAAAGGTCATTTCTTAACTAATGACATTTTTAAAGATATAAACTCATCCTGATGTTACACTAGTGAAGACCTTTCATTTGAGTACCCACATCAATTTTCATATATATTATGTATTTATATATAAACGTATATATGAAAAATATATGAAAATGCATGTGGGTACTCAAGTGAAAGGTCTCGATCAGTGTAATGTCAGGGTGAGCTTATATCTTTAATAATGTCAATAGTTGACAAGATACAAAGTAATTCCTTAATTATTGACATTTTTGAAGATATAAGCTCATCCCGATGTTACACTCATCGAGACCTTCTAGTTAAGAAAGTACAGTGCAATAATTAAACGTATATATGAAAAAATATATGAAAAATGCATGTGGGTACTCAAGTGAAAGGTCTCGATCAGTGTAATGTCAGGGTGAGCTTATATCTTTAATAATGTCAATAGTTGACAAGATACAAAGTAATTCCTTAATTATTGACATTTTTGAAGATATAAGCTCATCCCGATGTTACACTCATCGAGACCTTTCATTTGAGTACTCACATGCATTTTGATATATTTTTCATATATACATATATCTTATATGTATAAATATATGAAAAAATTGATGTGGGTACTCAAATGAAAGGTCTCGATGAGTATAATATCGGGATGAGCTTATATCTTTAAAAATGTCAATAATACTTATGAATTGAATTGAATTTAAGATTAAAATACAAAGAAATTAAAATACAAAGTAATTTCTTAATTATGTAAACTCTTGCAATAAATTTACATCTAATTTTTTTTGTTTCCAGAAAACTAAAGAGAGATACCTGTTTGAAATACGAATTTGCTTCGACAAATCATTCAAGCTCACTGACTGTGATAACATCGCTAGTTATCCAACTAATTGCTCGAAGAAAAGAAAAGTTACCTATCCAGGAACTGTGCCGAGTAGGATTAGTCTAATTCAATTTTGAAATTTAATTTTATTAGTTGTAAATTTATTTAAAGGTCATTAAGTTCAATTTAAAAAAAAAAATATCTAGACCTTTATTTATATAGAAAAATTAAATTATTATTTTTGATAAGTTTGTATTAAAAAAAATTATAGAATTTTTTTTTTTGTTTAAAATAATCCAATAAAAAATAGTAATTATTTTTATAAAATCCTTAGCTGAAATAAAAGTTATTTATATAAATAAATATATAAATAAATAAAAAAAAAAAATTTGTGCCATCTTTGGATTTATTATTATTATTATTAAATCTTAATCCGTTTATAAAGATTATAGAAAAAATCTATAATTTAAATCTTATAAGTTATACAAATGTCACTGGCTTACTTTTTTAAAATAATAATTGTATTTACTTACTTGAACACTGAGAAATTTTTTTTTTAAAAATAATTACAAAACTGCAACTCCCTATCATCATAATTGTTACCACCAATATTTGTAATTACAATTATCATACAAGTATAAAAACCCGTTATCATTCGACTTTCTTCTGTACAATTACAACAGCTGACGGCACGAGACCTACAAAGAAATAGATTACGGGATTAAAGTCCAAGTCGCTTTTCTTTGTCATTGGAATTTATTAATTATCAACAATTAGTCGTGTTAGTAATGACAAAAATGCGTATAAAAAATTTTTGTTCTCCAAATTTTTACTTATTACTAGCATGAAACGCACGCGTAATATGCCTGCGGTGCAATCACATTAAAATAAAATTAAAATAAAAATTACAAACAAATAATTTGTACACTAACACTGATATATAATAATTATATACAAAATTAATAATAAAAAATAAAAAAAAAGTAAATATATCAGTGAAGTTTATAACAAATAAAATTTTGCTTTATTAAATAATTACTCTTGTTAAATTGCACTGTACTTTTTTAAATATTGAAATTTTTAAAGATATAAGCTCATCCCGACGTCACACTCATTAAGAGCTTTCATTTGAGTACCCACATGCATTTTTGATATATTTTTCATATATACATATATATAATATATAAATATATAAAATATATGAAAAATTGATGTGGGCACTCAAATGAAAGGTCTCGATTAGTGTAACATCGGGATGAGCTTATATCTTTAAAAATGTCAAAAGTTAACAAGATATAATGTCATTTCTTAATTATTGACATTTTTGAAGATATAAGCCCATCTTGATGTTACACTCATCGAGACCTTTCGTTCGAGTACCCACATGCATTTTTGATATATTTTTCATATATACATATATATATATATATATATAAATATATAAAATATATGAAAAATTAATGTGGGTACTCAAATGAAAGGTCTCGACGAGTGTAATCTCGGGATGAGCTTATATCTTCAAAAATGTCAATAGTTTACAAGACACGACGTAATTTCTTAATTATTGACAATATATAAATATATGAAAAATTGATGTGGGTACTCAAATGAAAGGTCTCGACGAGTGTAATCTCGGGATGAGCTTATATCTTCAAAAATGTCAATAGTTTACAAGACACGACGTAATTTCTTAATTATTGACATTTTTGAAGATATAAGCTCATCCCGACATTCCACTCAGCGAGACCTTTCATTTGAGTACCCACATCAATTTTTTTATATATTTTATATATATGGTATTTGTGAAATATATAAATATATAAAATATATGAAAAATTGATGTCGGTACTCAAATGAAAGGTCTCGATTAGTGTAACATCGGGATGAGCTTATATCTTCAAAAATGTTCATAGTTCACAAGATACAAGGTCATTTCTTAATTTTGTGTCTAAAGATAGAGCATTTTTGAATGCAGCCCCAATACTTATAATAATAAATTGACTATCGGCGAGAATGATATAAAACCTTGAAAAGGCACAAATTCAAGTCAAGACCAAACTAACTTTTTATTTGGAAAAAAATTTCCAAATTGATTAGGGTAAAAAAAATTTTTTTTTATACGCTCTTTTGGCATTAGTAACGCGTAGTAATTTTATTCTAATTAAAATAATAAAATATTCTCCAAAACTTATTTTAAAATTGATAATTAAAAAAATGATATATATATTAATTTATTAAAACTGGCTTTTTTTTTTAATTAAAATAAAATTGCAAGTGTCAATAACTAGGCCAGTGTCACTAATTCGGTCTTTTACCTTACAGAAGCTAAAAATAAATGATAAATGATTAGATAAATTACCAAGAACGTCAAGCGGTGCATCATAATCCTCAAAGGAGAATACTTTTCTAGGAAAGTTTGTCAACAAGTTGAAAGGCCCTGGAGGATCTGTTCGGTTCATTTCGATGTAGAGTCTGACAGCAGACAACTGTTCCTTGGCGCCGAAGGTTTGTGTGAGAGTGTCGCCATTGGTCAGTCGGATTTGCAGTCTAGTTTCAGTGTAATCACGCTTGGGAGCTGCGGGCGTTGGAGCTGGTGCTGGAGCTGGAGCTGGAGTTGGAACTGGTACAGAAGGAACCAAATTTCCATACTCAGCGGCAGCTTTTGCGCGACGAGCTGCTTTGTCAGCTTCTATCTTCTCGCGGATCGCCTGCCGGGCAATTCTGTCCTCTTCTTTTTCGCGCTTCCGTTGCTCCAGAAGTTTTTTCATCTCAAGCTCTTCCATTCTATTGTAAAAAAATAAATAAATTAATTAAAAAATAAATTAATTAAGCAATTGATAAATTCCTAAATTTAAAAATAAAATAATTACGTACTTTTTTTTAGCTTCAGCCATTTCTTTTCCGGATTTGATTCTAATTTTTTCTTTTTCAAGACTCTCTTGCTTCTCGAGTTCCTCGCGTTCTTTGCGCTTCTGTCGCATTTTTTCCTCCAGCTGCTTCAATTTTTCTTTCTTTTCATCTTCAGTCAGTGGCTTTTTCTCTTCGAGACTCTCGGAGAAACTGTCATGGCCGGATTTAGTTGCGTGATATTCAACTTCTAGGGAAGATTTGAATAGTTTTCCACACCTAAATTCAAATTATTAATATTATTAATACTAGAAACTTTGCAGTCACTACGTGACTGCTGTGACTTGTGAACTATAAATAAATAAAACTTTGCTTTATTAAATAATGACTTTTGTTAAATTGCACTGTAATTTCTTAAATATTGACGTTTTTAAAAATATAAGCTCATCCTGATGTTACACTCATCAAGAGCTTTCATTTGAGTACCCACATGCATTTTTGATATATTTTTCATATATAAATATATATGATATACATATAAATATATCAAATATATGAAAAATTGATGTGGGTACTCAAATGAAAGGTCTTGATGTGTATAATGTTGGGATGAGCTTATATCTTTAAAAATGTCAATAGTTGACAAGATACAATGTCATTTCTTGATTATTAACATTTTTTAAGATATAAACTCATTTCGATGTTACACTCATCAAGAGCTTTCATTTGAGTACCTACATGCCATTTTTTATATATTTTATATATATATGATATTTGTGAAATATATAAATATATAAAATATATGAAAAATCTATGTGGGTACTCAAATGAAAGGTCTAGATGAGTATAATGTTGGGATGAGCTTATATCTTTAAAAATGTCAACAGTTCTTAAGATACAAGGTCATTTTTTAATTATATATCAAGATTTTATCATATAACTATCTTGGACACAAAATTTTTCTTATTCTCCTAATATTATTAGGAGAATTTTTATCAATTATAAATTAATTATTATTAATAATTTTTATAATCTGTATAGATTATAAAAATTATTTAAAAAAAAAAAAGTATAAGTAATAAGTCAATAATTACACATCGCATTTCAAGGATTTCGCTTCCTGACTCTCAGTACTTGCTGTCGCAGTACTTGCACTACTTTGCGCTGAGGAAGACTCTTGCGGTGAAACTTGAGTCTCTGCCGAACTAGCTCCAGTTTGGGGAACTTCGTCTTCAGTATTAGAAAACAACCTTCCAAAAAAAAAAAATAATTTTTTTTTACAATCGACATATAAAAATAATTGAATAGAATAATCACCAGTCCATTGCAGGTTGTACTCCAACATTGCCAGTAGCCTTAAGTGCTTTTTCTCTGTAAAAAAAAAAAAAATATTTTATTTATTTTCCATTTTTTAATAATGAAAATTTAATAATTTTAGAAATTTTTAGTAACAAATAAATTATTTCAAAAAAAATTGACATGTAAAATTTAAAAAAACAAATTAAAAATGCAATTTTTTAATAAAAATTAATTCAACATTATATTTAATAATTAAAAAAAAATTTAATAATAAATAATTGATGGCAAAAAAAAATTAGAATTAGAATTAAAAAATACAATTTTTTGGAACAAATTTTTTTTTATTAAATAAAATTAAAAATACAATTTTTTTATAACCTAAACAAAATTAAGAAATAAAAAATGAAATTTTTTAGAACAAATTTTTTTATTAAATAAAATTTAAAAAAATTTGTCAAGTGACAGCTAAATTAAATGTTATAATTTTCTTTTAAAAGTAATTCTTCAAAACAAATTTGTTTTTTTTATATTATGTAAATATGTAAATATGTCCGGTAATTGAGGTTATATTTGCGAGATTAATCAACAATTGTTTTTATTTGGAGTTAAAAAAAACTTACGAGCGTTCTTTGGAGAATCCCATGTCAACAAGCATCGCTACAAATGGTGAATCTTCTGCCATTGTTGTTTTGTAATCTTCAATTGTTTATATTTTGTAAATTTATTACTTTGTTATGATATTTTTCTAGAGATTCTAGAGCTTCTAGGCTAAAACGTGGAGCTGAGGAATTTTTAAAAAATTAACTGTCATTGTGTTGTATAATCATTCCAGCAAAATAATAAGCCTCGGGTATCTTCGGGATTTCTCCCCTATTTTATATATTTATTAACTGCGCATGCGCAACAATTAAAGCGGTAAATTTAAATATTGCAAAGATAAAAGGGCGCATATTTTTTTTTTTTATTGCCAATCGAGTAGTAGACACATTCTGCGCTTAAAATTGAAAAAAAAATTGCAAAGGTAAAAGGGCGTCTGTCTTTAATTATACGCCCTTTTACTTTTAAGAATTCGAAATTTTGGTGATCTAAAGGTGAAAGGGCGTATAATTTTTTTTCGACCAGTTTACAAAGAACAAATTCGTAGTTTAAAAATGTGAAAAAAAAAGTTTCTGTGGTAGTAGCGGCGTAAAACCTCAACTATAAAATTTTTTAAAGTTAAAAAAGAAAATATATCGAAAAAACAATAAAGTACGCGTGATTATTTTCTCGCTTTTTATTTTAAGAAATAGTTATTATAAAATTTGGATTCTGGATTGTTGATCATGATGAAACAGCTGTTGTGTGAACGGCGCCAGTAGTTATATTCAAAAGGGCGATTAAAGCGGGAAATTTCAAAATATTTCAATGTTATCTGTCATTGTGATTTTTTTTATTACTTAATTTTGACGTAATTTGTTTTTGATTGATTTATTTTCTATTTGTTTATATCTTCACTTTGTACATGAGGCTGTTATTTTAGTATAACTTGTAAAACTACAATTTTTTTTGCGCCCTTTTACCTTTAAGTAGTACTTTTCTTAAAGCTGAAAGGGCACTTGTCTTCAGATACGCCCTTTTAGCTTTAGGATACCATCTTTTTTCTTCACAGATTTTTACGTTTTAGACAATTTTAAACCGAATGGCAAAAAAAATTTTTTTATACGCCCTTTTAGCACAAATCCCTATTAACCCTCAGCTATACGCCCTTTTACCTTTAGGCACACGATTTAATACTCAAAAAATTCGGATAAAAGTAATTTAAGCCGAGATAATTGCTTGACCTTGAGAGAGTGAGAATAAAAGCACTACTCAAACGCTTTGCGTTATATGAGTCGTGCAATAAAATTTTGTTTATCACATAAACCTTTTTTAGTTTTATTTTATTGCACTCTTAAATTCTTTTATCTTTATTTTAAAAAGACTTTTTTTTTTTAATAGATTTAATAAATAACAGCTCATTAATTTTCAATTAAATACTGAAATAAAAATGTCAATTTATCAACTTATCAGTATAACGGATGCAGCTATTTAATTGTATCCAAAAGAATTTATTTTTCAAGAAATAATGCTTCCATCTGATAAATTAAATACTTAAGATCGTTAAAATAGTTTTGATAGGTATTTAAGTACTTCTTCGTGTTGACAATCTTGGTGACGAACAAATTGTTTCACTATTAATGCCCTTGAATTTTTAATAATTCTTCAGTTTTAAAGTCAACTTTAAATTTACCAGAGTAATAATTATTTCCACAAATATGGATTTATTTAAGATATTTCTTTTTTTTCACTTAATATCATCGATTGTACTAATTGGGCATATGTATGTGACCACTGATGGTGACAAAGAAATAAATTCTGAAAATATTGGAGAAATCACGAGCTTAGATAATATGCCAGAAACAAATAAAGTTAAGAAAACAGTGGCTATTAGAGACAAAAAACAGCTGTGGACTTCGGGTGTTATTCCTTATGAATTCGAAAATACTTTCACTGAATCACAACGCAGGATAATAAAACTGGGGATGCGAATATATGGGAAGAGTCAACCTGCATTAAATTCGTTGAAAGAAATTTAAACACTCCAGATTTCATCGCTATCGTTAAAGAAGACTGTGGGTAATTATATCAATCTAAATTTTTACTGAAATCATTAACAAATTGAAGGTTTTTCTATAAATCATCACTTTTAAATTGATTAATGACCTTCGATTGGTTAAATTAATCACACTATGCATTCATCCATCAAAAATTAGTTGCTGCTACATGGAAAACATCCAAAGAAATAAAGGACGCAGCGTACGTACTAAGTTTAGATGGCTGCGACAAGGTACCGATAGTTCTTCATGAGCTAGGCCATGTTGTGGGCTTCTATCATGAGCACGAGCATCCAGATCGTAATCAATACGTCCAAATCATGGAGCGTAACGTTGAGCGAGGTAGTTTATTTTGAACTGTTATTTAACACAATAAGGATAGAGATTAAATAGATTTTGAATAATAAAAGGTCATCGTCAAGAATTCGGAAAGTTTTTACCTGATGAAGTTGATACTCTGGGGCACCCCTACGACTATCGATCCATCATGCATTACCCAAAAAATGCATTTGCACGATCTGATTACGTGGAAACTATTATTCCCTTGCAACCAGACAATGGAACACTTCCAGTGCTTGGAAACAGAGCCAGACTCAGCGCTTATGATATTGCAGCTACTAATCATCTGTATAAATGTCCAAGTTAGTTAATAATATTCTCGGTCAAGGTTTTTATTTTTTTAGAAATTAATTCGTTTTATTATTGCTTGAAAACATTACTTAAGTAGCATTAAATTTAGATATGATTTTTGAACAAAATACTTGAGCGTGATTTTGTTCAGAATTGGCTCAGATTTAGAAATTGCACACCTCATAGCGCGAAGCGCGTGAGGTAGTGCTTTACTCCCGCCTCGTCAAGGTCAAGCAATTTTGTGATCTTTAAATGTCTCTATTACAACCATATTGCACTTATACAATAATATGAGTTGACTTACATCAAGAAAACACTTGAAGTAAACCATTTCATACTTTTTAAAAATCATTTTATGTTACTACGTTGAAAAAAAAAACGTTTTTAAAAAATTTTACGTGGACGTCCGGATGTCTGTACGCTGACTTTGAATGTAACCACGATAACTCCCGAAAAAATTGATGTATCGAGACCGGGCTTTTTTCATTAGTTCCAGAATTCGATAAACTAGTGCCGTACTTCATATCAGTAGCCTAGTTTACGTAGTTTTTTTTTTTAATGAATTTTATATTAAAATTTACTATGATACACATGTACAAAAACAAAATAACTTTTCTTATTTCTCTCACGTAAAAACTATGGCGCCACTTAATCAAGCTAGATTTTTTTAAGACTGCGCGCGCATATGACAAGAAAAACAGGCGCCAATATTTGAAAAAAAAATAGAAAATACTCTATAAAAAATTACTTAATTATTTTTTTTTCTTTTAAAAATCAATTACACTATTTATTTTTTGCTTAAAAAATGAATTAGCATTATAAGCCGTGCACTTTTGGATTTTCTAAAATTTTTAAAAATACTTCAGCTATTTTCAAGCCTGTACGTTGTAATTTAATTTTATAATTCCTATATTTAATAAATCGGTTAGATATCAGGCTACTTATGGATATTAATTGATTCCACCTAATATGACCTAAACGTGATATCCATTCAAGGTTATTTATTAAAGAGAATTAATTAGAATATTTCTATAGCATGTGGAGGTTTTCTAACTAACAGCAGTGGAAGTATTGAACTACCTGACAATAACAGCGAATATTGTGAATGGCGAATCAGAGTTGGGCATGGAGAACGAATCTCCTTCAGAATTGAATCAATGGATATCCAAAACACTGCTGACTGCAAAACTGGATACGTGGAGATTCAAGTTGGATTTGACAGGAAGAATAGTCAAATTTTAGGTATATACTTTTTAATAATATCAGAAAATAATGCTGTTTTTTAAATAATACGGATAATTTCAGGCCCTTACTGCGGACAAACATACGATTATGGAATCATTGCAAGTGAAAGTATGATCGTATCTTACGTCAATACAAATAAAAATCTCAGTTATGAATTCAAGGCAGTTTATCTAAAATTTTGTGATGAAGAAATTTTGTTACTCAGCAATCAGAAGACTTACTTAGAGACGCCTAACTATCTGAAAGATTACAAATCAAATGAAGATTGTTTGTGGCATCTAAAAGCGGAAGAAGATCATGTTATACAAATTCAGTTGATTTTTTTAGCCTTGGAACTTACTGCGGAACGAAAAATCCATGGACAATTACTTCCCAAGATAATTCGGCTTACATTCAATTTGTCAGCAATCCTTATTATGAAGATGCTGGATTTTCTGCGTCAATTACCGCGATTCCACATAAGTAATTGAATAAATTGAAATTTAAAATCTATATATTGTATTCCGATACATTTTTTATTTTTGAAAATTTTTTTCTTTAAAAAAAAAAATGAGTCTTGGAATTACGCAATAATAAAATGGATAATTTATAGCCAGAACATGTAATTAAAATTTTCTTTTGTTTGAAATGTTAAAATGTATTGTAATGATTCAAAAAAATGTAATAAAATTTATGATAATTTTTATAACTTTTTTATTGTAAAAAGTTCTATCAAATTTTAACTCATCGAAGAAGTGATATGAAAAATTTGTAGAAATAGCATCGTTGTTTGGAAAGACACATGGACTTATTTTGATTACTGTTAAAAAAATAAAAAAATAAGTTATTTTAATAAGCAAAAAAAAAAAACAAGTTTGTAAAATAATATCTTACATCTTCAAAAAAATCAGCAACTTCATTACTTATTTTTCCTAAGGTATTGAAGATTGCACCACCAATAAATTTTCCCTTTAATATAAAACAATAATTATTAAAAAATAAATTCTTTTTCTTGTATTAAAAATTTTTTTTGTTAAATATTCAACACTTTTTTGCGTTAATTTATTAGAACTTCTTACTTGACTATCAAATTTTCTGGCTTTGGCGAATTTATTTTCTGCGCAATCTTCAAAAATCTGTGAAATTATATTCGAATGACTTCTTGAAGGTCTAGGAGTGATCCAATATATTGGAAAAGGAGTAGTTGAAGTACTTGTAGTAGTTGCAGGGGTAGTTGTCGTTGTAGTCGTTGTAGGCTTTTCTTTTACTAGGTTGTAAGAGTAGACCTAAAAAATATTTAAAATTAGAGTTTTATAAATCAAAGTCTATGATAAAGATGTATAGATAATATTTAAAAAATTAAGTATTTGATATAAAAATTACCTGAGAAATAGTACAAATAATAAAAATGGTACACAATATTCTTTTGAAAGACATTATTTTGTTTTTACTCGATGATTTTTAATTTAAAAATTATGATACTTTATTTTTTCTCGATAAACAATTCGATACTAATGGTGATAAATTTTTTATAGCGTTTATACGTTGTATTTTATTTCTTATCAACTTTTGGAATTTATAGGAAGCTTTAGTGTAGGAAGATATAATTGTATTAATTATACTTGTAATATGGAGTGAAGTTATTAAGGTGTAAAGTAATTAACCTTCGGTTTTTCAATAAAATAATCTTGATTTGATATCACGTATAGGTCATATAGGTGAATCAATTAATATCCATAAGTAGCCTGATATCTAACCGATTTATTAAATATAGGAATTATAAAATTAAATTACAACGTACAGGCTTGAAAATAGCTGAAGTATTTTTAAAAATTTTAGAAAATCCAAAAGTGCACGGCTTGTAACGCTAATTCATTTTTTAAGCAAAAAATAAATAGTGTAATTGATTTTTAAAAGAAAAAAAAATAATTAAGTAATTTTTTATAGAGTATTTTCTATTTTTTTTTTCAAATATTGGCGCCTGTTTTTCTTGTCATATGCGCGCGCAGTCTTAAAAAAATCTAGCTTGATTAAGTGGCGCCATAGTTTTCACGTGAGAGAAATAAGAAAAGTTATTTTGTTTTTGTACATGTGTATCATAGTAAATTTTAATATAAAATTCATTAAAAAAAAAAAACTACGTAAACTAGGCTACTGATATGAAGTACGGCACTAGTTTATCGAATTCTGGAACTAATGAAAAAAGCCCGGTCTCGATACATCAATTTTTTCGGGAGTTATCGTGGTTACATTTAAAGTCAGCGTACAGACATCCGGACGTCCACGTAAAATTTTTTAAAAACGTTTTTTTTTTCAACGTAGTAACATAAAATGATTTTTAAAAAGTATGAAATGGTTTACTTCAAGTGTTTTCTTGATGTAAGTCAACTCATATTATTGTATAAGTGCAATCTGGTTGTAATAGAGGCATTTAAAGATCACAAAATTGCTTGACCTTGACGAGGCGGGAGTAAAGCACTACCTCACGCGCTTCGCGCTATGAGTTGTGCAATTTCTATATCTGAGCCAATTCTTAATTGGCCAAGTATTGCGTTACATATTATCCAATTTTGACGCGTTTAAATACAGAATCTTAACAAACTGACTTGATCAAAAATTGTCCGTTCAATTCTTAACAAAGTCATGCTCAAGTATATTTTGTTCAAAAATCATATCTAAATTTAAGGTTGTACCACGAAATCTCCCCGGACAAAATCTCCCCGACAAAATACGCTTCCAAATCTCGTTGTGCCCTTTTATCATGATTTTTTGTGTATATTTACACGAAAAATACCATCACAATTGTCAGGAATAATAATATTATTATTTAAAATTAGATTTTGTCGGGGAGATTTTGTCGTGTCACCAAATTTAATGCTATAGTTACAGACAGTGTCTCGGATAGCTTAACCGGCAGAGCCCTTAGCGCGCAATCAAACGGACCGGGTTCGAGTCTCGGTCCGGCTGTTCGAATTATTTTTTCGGTTACCAAAAAATTCCCAATGAGTAAGGTCTCTCCCTTTCCCCAGTTCCCAAAATTATCTTTAATGACAACTTTAGCTCTAAATTATACCTAATAAACCGCATGTCCGGTTTCAAAACAAAAACTTAGTGTTCTCAAGCTTCCGGTTAAAAAGATTTTTTATTAACCAAAAAATTACATTTATTTTGAATGGAACAATGGTCAAAAATTTTACTAAAATTCGCCAAAAATTTAGCTACAGCTAATTTTGGCTACATAACTTTGAGGTATATCTTAACACCAACCACTGAAACAATAACTTGGACGGTTTGTTGCCCGGTTGGCCATCTTGGTGTCAACATTGTTCATGACCATGTTGTTGGATCCTGGGCTGCTGTTTCCAACAAAATTATCAATGCCGGTGCTGGCTCTGTTGATACCAACGTTGTTAGTTCTACCCATTGGGCCTCTGTTGTCAACAGCGTTGTTCATGTTGGTTTTGACATTGTTCATTACCATGTTGTTGCTGTCAGGTGAATTGTTTCCTACAGTGTTACGAATTCCTACGTCATTTTCATTAATACCGACATTAGCAGCTGAAGCAACGGCTACAATAGCCAAGGCGACAATTAAGAAACGCATCTTGATAAATTATTTCTGTAGAAAAAAACAAATTCTTTTTAATTATTACTCTTCTTATAACTTCTTTTATTAAGTCTGTTGGGTAATAAGGCTACTCTAGTAGAAGCGACTAGCATAGAAATTTTGCGACAAGTTTATTAAGTCCCAATATAATAACACATTTTTTGTCTTCTATATTTCGAGATCCGTTATATGCTGAAGTAGCAAAGAACAATTTTTAAAAAACGGTTTGAATAATTAACTTCTATCTTTATATTTAATTTTTTGGAGCAAGAGAGAAATTTTCTCTCGACAAGAAAATTAACTTTCTATCAAGAACTTAATTTTTTGGAGCTCGAGGCTGAATTTTCTCTTCACAACAAGATTTTCTTGACTTAAATAAATTTTTTTGGATCAAGATACGTAATTTTTAAAGGAAGAGAATTAATTTTGTTGAAATAAGTGAAATTTCTTGTCAAAAAAAATTTTTTTTCGCTCAAGAAAATAATTAGGAAGAAAAATATTTTTTTGGCTCAAGTGAAGAATTTGTTTATAATTAATAAGCTTTATTAACTATTAATAAATGATTTTTTAACATCAGGATTTAATAAATATTTATTAACAGATAATAAATTATTTATTAAATGTTAATAAATATTTGTTAACAGTTAACAAATATTTATTAACAATTAATAAGTAATTTATTAACTGTAAATAAGTATTTATATAAAAATATTTATTAAATTAATTCATTGTCTTTAAAGAAATTGAATTATTAATAGTTGATAATTTTTAGATTTTCTTCAAAATCTTCCTCAACGAAGCTTTATTACCCACCGGTACCTTAAATTGTATAATTTGATTTAAAGCTTACGATTTAGACCGAAAACTGAGTTTTCCAATTTGAATCGTAAATTTACTATCAGAGGCATGGTTTATATACTACCTATGTTTATTTAAAAACAGAAATTGTTATTTTTTTAAATGTTTTTTGCATATTTGTTATTACTTTTTTCAATTTACTGTTTTTCCAATTGCCGTAAGCCTTACTATTGACTTAGTTTATTTGTGACTCATTGAAATTTTTCCTCATTCGAGGGATCTCCCTTTACTCAGAGTTACAAAACATGTTTCATCATCAGTTTAATTGTTATATGACGTAAAAAAAACTGCAAATTAATAAATAAAGATATAAGGAACACAGATTTGATACTCGGTGTGTCTATATTTGCACAGGTGCACAGGTGGGTGTGTATGTATGCAGGTGCTTCGCCATATTTGCAACATTATGTTATTCAAGATAATTTTATAATAATAAAAAACAAAAAATTTTTATTTTTAAACCTTTAAAATTTAATTATTTTTAGTTTATTTTTTCAATAAATAATTTTTAACATTTAAGTTACTTAAAAATTTTTTAATTTTAATAAAAAAAAAATATTTTTAAAAAATTGCATTTTTTATTTTTTAAAATTTCTAAATTGCAATTTTTTTTTTTATTTTATTTAACAAAAAAATTTATTCCAGAAAATTATTAAACTTAAAATTTCTATTTCAATTTTTTTTGTTAAATTTATTTTTGAAAAATTGTTCCAAAAAATTATTTTTAAAAAATTCCTTTTTTTATTTTTTAAAATTTCTATTTCAATATTTTTTCTAATTTATATTTAATTTTATTTTTAAAAAATTGTTCCAAAAAAATATTTTTTATTTTTTAAAATTCCTGTCAATTTTTTTGCCATAATTTATTTTTAATTTAAAAAAAAAATTGTTCCATAAAATTATTTGTAAAAAATTGCATTTTTTATTTTTTTAAATTTCTGTCAATTTTTTTTCGCTATAATTTATTTATTATTTATTATAAAAAATTATTAAATATCTGATAAAATAATTTTAAATTTGAATTAAGCGCGCGCGCTTAAAAATTGCCGCCCTCTAGATGTAAAATTCTGAAGCTCCTAAAATAATAAACATAAAATAGTGACAGTTGGTTCTAAAACAAATAAAATAAAAAATAAACATTAGAAATAACCTAAAAAATTTAACTTGTTATTATTTATAATTTTTTTTTAGTTAAAAATGATAAATTTAAAAAATTACTGTAATTATATTGATCAAATAAAAAAATATGCCAAGCGCAGTGACATAAGTGAAACGGAGTTGGAAAAAATATTCGACGAGTGTTTTGACGATATTGAAAAAAAGTTTAAAAAAAATAAACGGGGAATTTGCAATGTCATTTGTAAATTACTTCAACTATTTTTAATTGTTAATTTTTTATTATTGTTATTATTAATTGTTATTTATCATGATCCTCATTTAAGGAGTTTTTTTTTACGGAATTTACAAAGTTATATTTATCCTGGGTTTTATATTTTTCGGAAACTCGCGGTACCTGTCATTACACGTTATCCTACACTAACAGGTAATAATAATAATAATAATAATTATAATGGTATTAATATTAGCAGAAATTAGACAATTTTTGATTTTGAATAAATAAAAAAATTTGAACTTAAAATTCATAATATTAAAGTTAGCCGACGTTTTTAATTTTTTGATTTTTTTTTAATAATTAAATTATGATAAAAAAATTTTTTTTTAAAATTCCACTCATAGTTTTTTTTTTACAAATGTAATTTTTTTTTTTATTTTAAAATAATTTTTTTAATAAAAAAAAGTTCTAAAAATTTTGAGATGTCCCCTAACTTTATTTTTATAATAAATCAATAACAATAATAATGACATTGAAGTTAGCACTCACTTGACTATTTTTTAAGTTTTTTTAATAAATAGATTTTTTCCAAAAAAATGCATTTTGTATTTATAAAAATTTCTATACGTCAATTTTTTTTGCAACAATTTATTTGTACCTATAAAACTAAAATTAGCGGACAGTGAAAAATTTTCATTTTTTGTTTATTAATTGAATTAGTAATAAAAAAATATTTTTAAAAAATTGCACGTATAATTTTTCAAATTTTTTACAAGTAGAATTTTTTCTTTTAATTTTTTTGTAATAAAAAAAAATTCTGAAAATTGTTAGCTGTCTGCTGATTTTATTTTCATTTTATTTGTTAAAAAAATTATTAAATATCTGGTATATTAATTTTCATACAATAATAAAGATATTTTTAAAAGTTTTCACTAATTATTTTTTTTACAAATGAAAATTTTTTTTTATTCTTTATTTTGTGATAATTTATTCAATTAAAAAAAATAATAAAACATTTAAATAAATTATTTTAAATAAAATAATAAATTTTTTTATTCATTAACAGAATATTATGATGAAACATGCTTGGTTGAAAATCCATTCTTCCAACTATCAAGCATCGATTGCTGGCCATGTAACACGATCCAAACGATTCCCGATATGTCGGGATTAAATTGGAGCATACCTCGTAATTTTAATTTTGGGTTTCCTTTTATCAGACAAGAAAACGACAGTATTAATAATTTATCTAGCTTATTTGATATGCTGGAAATAAATAAAGATATTTTTATTAACGACGCTCGGAGAATTAGCTCAAATAATATTGACTACCAGTAAGTACGCAAAAGTTTATTTTATTATTTTTCAAAATTTACAATGATAATTATTTAAAAAAATTAATAATGCAATTTTTTTAAAAAAATTTGTTTGTTAAATAAATTAAAAAAATAGTTTGCTTATTTTAATTAAATAAATTTTTAAATAATTAGAATTATTATTTTTTATTTTTTATTTTACAGAAATATTAATGATGTTATCAATAAAAGATTAGATATTAATAAATCTCAGCTTGGAAAAACACACATATCATGGAGAATAAATAGAATGACACCCGGTAGAATTATACGAAAATTATTTCCAAAACCAAAAGGTACTCCTGATTGGTGGGGACAATCTGTTGAGAGATTTATTTTTATTGATGAACCATTAGCTCCTCTTTATAATTTAGTAAGTAAAATATTTAATTAATTTAATTTAATTAATTTATTTAATGTTATTAAAATTAGCCGGAAATTTTTGAATTTTTTTTTTATTAATTAAATTAAAACTAAAAAATATTATTAAAAAATTGTACTTATAGTTTTTTAATAAAAATAATTAAAAATTATTTCAGCCAAATCCAGAGTGTACAAATGTAATCCTAAGATCTACAAGTGGCTTGCGTTTGATTAAAATGATACCTAGTCCCGAGTGTCTAAGCACTTGTCAGCCTACCGCGATAATTTTAAAAGCTGGTTACACCTGTAAGTACAATAAAGTAATCATGCAGAAGTGGACAATTTAATTAATACAATTTAATTGATAAAATTCCACTTCTTCATAATTACTTCAATAATTAATAGTAAGATAAATAATTTATTTAATTATATTTTACCAACAGTATGGTACAATTGGTTGTACTGGAGACCAATCAGCTACCCAGTGACCAATGCAACGGAAGTTTCTGTTAATTATTTAACGTCCTTCTGTTAAGTACAAAAAAAAAAGCAATAATATCTAGATTTTTTTATAGATATTTTTTATAACGTGCCAAATAATATATAGGTGTAAATTATTTTTATAAAGTCATTTTATATATATTATTAAGAGGATAAGAAAAATTTTGTGTCATTGCAAAGGTCTTGACTTGTACCTTTTCAAGGTTTTATATCAATTTCACCGATAGTCAATTTATTATGAGAAGTATTTAGGTCGCATTCGAAAATACTCTATTTTTAGATATATAATTGAGAAATGACCTTGCATCTTGTGAACTATTGACATTTTTAAAGATATAAGCTCATCCTGATGGTACACTTATCGAGACCTTTCATTTGAGTACCCATATCAATTTTTCATATATTTTATATATTTATATATTTCACAAATATCGTATGTATATAAAATATATAAAAAATGCCATGTGGGTATTCAAATGAAAGATCTCGATGAGTGTAATATCGAAATGAGTTTATATCTTTAAAAATGTCAATAATTAAGAAATGACCTTATATCTTGTCAACTATTGACATTTTTAAAGATATAAGCTCATCCCGACATTACACTCTTCGAGACCTTTCATTTGAGTCCCCACATCAATTTTTCATATATTTTATATATTTATATATATATCATATATATGTATATATGAAAAATATATCAAAAATGCATGTGGGTACTCAAATGAAAGCTCTTAAAGAGTGTTACATCGGAATGAGCTTATATCTTTTAAAACGTCAATATTTAAGAAAGTACAGTGCAATTTTACGTCATTATTTAATAAAGCAAAATTTGATTTATTTATATTTCACCAGTCACGGCAGTCACGTAGTGACTGCAAGGTTGCTAGTATATATTATTTACAATAAGCAGTATTAAATAAATATATTTTTTTTTCAATTTATAATTTAAAAAAAAAATTATTTATTAGAGTTCTTTTCTATCAAAATAAAACAGAAAAAAAAAACATTTATTGCACAAGTTCTAAAAAAAAAAATTCTATTCAATAGAATCAATAAAAAAAATTATATTTTTCCACATATCAATTAAAAGTATCAATTATCTTACACTTAAAGTGTGAGCTAATTACATTTTATTATCTCTGTTTTCAAACTAAATGGATCAACTTAAATTCAGTCCTCTTATCTTCTTTAAATGCGTCATTGAACATAAAAATTCCAAGACATAAAAAAATTATTTTTATAAATTAATTTATTAAGCCAATTATATGAACTTGTACGAGTTGTTAAGTACAATACATTGATTAAGGTACGAACAAATAGATAAATATTAATTAATTGATGAGTAATTTAGCTGCTATCATGGCTACAAAAATTGTTAATAGAGAAGCTTGTAACGAGTTGCCAAAATTGAAGGAATACTCGATCAAGTTTAACTGAGGTAGAGGACGTTTGGTGTGCATTGGGCGCAAGTTGACACTCAATAAATAATTATCTCCGAATTGTTTCTTAACTTCGGATTTAAGAGTTTCATTTTCAAGAACTTGATACAGGCTGCGCTTAGGAGTTTCGGTGTTGAGAAGCAATTCCGTAACTTTATTTATAAATTCTACATTTCCACTCCCTGATATCAATTCACTGGTGAATAATGGTAGAGACTTGTCGATGTTATCATTTGCGTTGTAGACAAATGCCTGAAATAATTAAAATTATTGTTGAATTTTTTTTTTATGTATATAAATATATAGAATATAATTAATGAAGCCATTGAGAAAAACTTTATTTTTTAAAAAATTAGGATGAAATTAATATGGTTAAAAAAACACTCTATCTTTAGATACATAATTAAGAAATGACCTTGTATCTTGTAAACTACTGACATTTTTAAAGATATAAGCTCACCCTGACGTTACACTTATCAAGACCTTTCATTTATATAAATATATGAAAAATTGATGTGGGTACTCAAATGAAAGGTCTCAATGAGGGTAACATCAGAATGAGCTTATATCTTTAAAAATGTCAATAATTAAGAAATGACACTGTATTTTTTCCACTGATAACATTTTTAAAGATATAATCTCATCCTGATGTTCCACTCATCGAGACCTTTCATTTGAGTACCCACATTTATTTTTCATATATTTTATATATTTATATATTTCACAAATATCACATATATAAAATATATACAAAATGTCATGTGGGTACTCAAATAAAAGGTCTTGATGAGTGTAACATTAGGATGAGCTTATATCTTTAAAAATGTCAATAGTTAAGAAATTACCTTGTATCTTCTTAACTATTGACATTTTTAAAGATATAAGCTCATCTCTACATTATACTCATCAGGACCTTTCATTTGAATACCCACATCAATTTTTCATATATTTTATATATTTATATATATTATATACATGTATATATGAAAAATATATCAAAAATGCATGTGGGTACTCAAATGGAAGCTCTCGATGAGTGTAACATCAAGATGAGCTTATATCTTTAAAAACATCAATATTTAGAAAAGTACAGTGCAATTTCAAAAGTCATTTTTTAACAAACCCAAATTTTATTTATTTATAGTTCACGCAGTGACTGCAAATTTGCTAGTTTCTTTTTAATTTATTAAATTTATTTTCAAAATAAAAAAAATTTTCACCTGATATAAACAATCCCCCTTATAAACAGAAGAAACATAATGAGTTTCACCTTCCTTGGGGTATTTAATAATAATATTTTCACGAATAAAAACATTGTACCCAATATCCTCAAAGTCCTTGTGCCAGTTAATAATAGTCAAGGGTTCTTCAGCAGATTCTTTCTTAACAGTGCGACAAACTCTAACTTCCATCCTTTTAAACTCCTTCGTAAGGTACCCGGGTATTCCAAATTGTTTATGCTCTACAAGGCAATCAAAAAACTCCAAATTTTGATGATCATTAATATGATCATTGCTTTGAAAAGCCAACCGTTGATATGGACAAGAAGACTTGATTTTTTCGTCGTTATTATACGTACGAATTGTCATTGCAAAGTTTTCATCAGATTCAGAAAATATTTTTTCAAACAGTAGGAATCTCATTATAGTTATAACTGAAACTGTATCACCTTTCAATTCTCTTATATTTAAAGTGCAACCTGGTTCCAGTTCTTGCAATTGTTGCTTAGTCGAAGGCAATTTTATTAATTTGTCACTCAAAGTCGGTAAATTAACCAATCTAAAGTCTCTGATTGCATCGCTTTCCATGTGCTTATAAATTTCATTTTGATTTTTAACCGGCATATTTTCAAAATTGAATAAAAAAGACTGGGTCTTATTTAGAAAATCTTCCGTCCACTCTTCAAGTTTTGTGTTGTTAGTCGCAGATACTATAGGACTTTTGTATGCAATTCTTTTGTCGGTATAGGAACTGAATGATTGCTCTTTTATTGGATCCTTTTCGTAAACGTAAATCTATAAGAAAAGTTACATTATGATTATAAGTCGGTTTAAAAAAAAAAAAATTATTTTTTCAGCTTCAATTTTAAACTTTAATAGAAAAAAATTGCAAGAGTAAATTCTAAGATAGATATTTTTTGGGTTAGAAAAATATGTATAGATGCAAATTGAATAATTAAGAAATTACATTGTATCTTGTGAAAGATTGAAATTTTTAAAGATATAAGCTCATTTTGATGTTACACTCATCGAGACCTTTCATTTGAGTACCCACATCAATTTTTCATATATTTTATATATATATATATATGAAAAATGGCATGTGGGTACTCAAATGACAGGTCTCGATAAGTGTAACATCGAAATGAGTTAGTATCTTAAAAAATGTCAATAATTAAGAAATGACCTTGTATCTTGTGAACTATTAACATTTTTGAAGATATAAGCTCACCCCGACATTACACTCATCGAGACCTTTCATTTGAGTACCCACATCAATTTTTCATATATTTTATATATTATATACATTTAACAAATAGCATTTATATAAAATATATAAAAAATGTCATGTGGGTATTCAAATGAAGGGTCTCGATAAGTATAACATAGAAATGAGCTTATATCTTCAAAAATGTCAATAATCACGAATTGAGCTTGTATTTTGTGAACTATTGACAATTTTAAAGATATAAGCTCATCCTACTGTTACATTTATCGAGACATTTCATTTGAGTACCCACATCAATTTTTCATATATTTTATATATTTATATATTTCACAAATACCATATATATAAAATATATGAAAAATTGATGTGGGTACTCAAATGACGGATCTCGATGAGTATAACATTAAAATGAGCTTATATCTTAAAAAATGTCAATAATAAAGAAATGACATTGTATTTTGTCCACCGACAACATTTTTAACAATATAAGCTCATTCTGATGTTACACTCATCGAGACCTTTCATTTGAGTACCCACATGCATTTTCATAAATTTTTCATATATACATATATATAATATATATAAATATATAAAAAATTGATGTGGGTACTCAAATGAAAGCTCTCGATGAGTGTAACATCAAAATGAGCTTATATCTTTAAAAATGTCAATAAAAAGTCTTTTTTTTATTATTTCAATAATCTTACCTGAGCTAAGCAAGTTCCTTTAGTAATAGAAGCGACATAATCAGTTTCAATTCCCTTTTTGGTTCTAAAAACAGCATTTTGCTCCCTAGCGTATACAATAGTACTAATATTAGGCGGCAAATCATCCGCACCAAAAACTGCAACATTTTTTTTTATTCTTTCTTCTTTAAGATTACAAAGTTCATAAAGCACGCAAGTATAGCTGCTATTTTTAAATTTATCATCAATATTAAATTTTTCATGTTTAAGTAAATCCTCTTCAAGCAGAAGAAATGAACGCTCGATCGCATTATTCGAACTAAATTTATTATCAGCTTTAACAGACGGATGGGAAACTAAATAAATAGATTCATAACAATTAAACTGACGAGAATGCCAATGTGGCGGATAACGCACAAATTCAGTAAAATTCCGATATATTTCTGGATAAGTAGAATTACTTTTAAAGATACTTCCGAGCACTTCAATAGTACTCTCGTTACGTTGTAAGCGATTGACAGTTGCACCAGCCCTAACATTTTTATATTCTATAAGTCCTTTTGTTTCACTTTTAATTACTGGCGCTACGGCCACTAACAAACTCCCTATCCACAATAATAAATTATGAGAAAATATCATTTTTTAAAGAAATTTCTTTTGAAGGAAACTGATGAATTTTTTTTTGTCAGTGCGCTCTTTTTATAATTTAAAAATATTTTATTAAGAAGAAGAGGGGGAAGAATAGTTTTAAGAGCTTTAAATGTGTCAGTAGATCGAAGGTTTTTTATTGGATGTTACTAATGGCTCTAATGGCTGATATTTGATATAATAATTCATATCTTATAAATTGTTATCAAGAACACTAAGTATTTTATTATGGCTAAGGCGATTTTTTTTTGATAACGAGCGAGAAAAATTTTAACTTTTAGACTAATAATCGGGTCTTGTATTTATTTTATATTTTTTTAGCTCCGATTTTGACAATAATTATTATGATTTTTATTTTAAATTAGAATGTTCTTGAGAGAATAAGAAAAATTTTGGATGATAGAATCATGATAAAATCGGTTATTTTAGTGTCATTGACTTGAATTTGTGACTTTTCAAGGTTTCATATCATTATTTTCACTAATAGTTTATTTATTATGATAAGTATTTAGGCTGCAGTAGAAAATACTCTATTAATAGATACATAATTGAGAAATGACCTTGTATCTTGAGAACTATTGACATTTTTAAAGATATAAGCTCATCCTGATGTTACGCTCGTCGAGACCTTTCATTTGAGTACCCACATCAATTTTTCATATATTTTATATATTTATGAATTTCACAAATATCAAATATATGTACATATATATAAAAAGTTAAATTTAGAAATGACCTTGTATCTTGTTAAATATTGACATTTTTAAAGATATAAGCTCATCCTGATGTTACATTCATCGAGACCTTTCATTTGAGTACCCACATCGATTTTTCATATATTTATATATGTCGGAAAAGCATTATTAGGGGCGTTAGTACAGTCCATTGGATTCGTTTATTCAATTATTTATTAATTTAGAATAATTAAACTATAACACTGATCTAAATTTTGAAATATAATGTACGCTAACTTGTATAAACAATACTACGATTAATTATCCAAATATAATTAATATACAAGGTAAAAGCGCTGAGGAATAAGACCGAGAACGAATCCGGGATCAGCAGGATGTATGCGATTTTTACTTGATCAATGCTCAACGAGAACTATCCGTCTAAGTACCCTAAGTACTTCTTTCACTTAAAAATATTTCGACAGCCCTCATTGTCTGTCGATATCTAACTGTATACTTTTTACTTCTATCCTGTGACCTCGGCTACGTTTGGTAACCATTGTCACTCCGGACTCAAGCCCATCACCATAACCATAAAAATTATAATCGGCTTAAGTTATAAATAATTATTAAATATTCTATGCTTTACAATTTTGCTTAAAACTAACAGACAAACTAAAATATTGGGAATTTCCTATCTCTAGGAAAACCCAGCTCAATATTATCTCCGACATATATATATATATATAAAACATATAAATATATGAAAAATTGATGTGGGTACTCAAATGAAAGATCTCGATGA